GAGCTGTGGATCAGGCAGTAATAAAAGTAATTTCCATCCACACATCTACAGCCTTTTTGAATGTTTTTTAATGCACACCAAGACCATACAACTGATGGAACACACCTTCTGACCTACACAGAGCTGAGCCTTCAACAGCCCCACAAGCCTCTTCACCACAAACCACTCCATCAGTGAGCAAGAGAGCGAAAAACCTACCAATGTCAACCCAGAGTGATTTGTTATGTGCTGGAGGAGAGGCAGGAGAGAGTGTGAGTTGATGAAATTATTATACAGTGGCAGGAATGGAACTGGTGTGTGTGTGTGTGTGTGTGTGTGTGTGAGAGTGAGTGAGTGAGTGTGTGTGAGAGAGTGAGTGAGTGAGTGTGTGAGAGAGTGAGTGAGTGAGTGTGTGTGAGAGAGTGAGTGAGTGAGTGTGTGAGAGAGTGAGTGTGTGAGTGAGTGAGTGAGTGAGTGTGAGAGAGTGAGTGAGTGAGTGTGTGTGAGAGAGTGAGTGAGTGAGTGTGTGAGAGAGTGAGTGTGTGAGTGAGTGAGTGAGTGAGTGTGAGAGAGTGAGTGAGTGAGTGTGTGTGAGAGAGTGAGTGAGTGAGTGTGTGAGAGAGTGAGTGTGTGAGTGAGTGAGTGAGTGAGTGTGAGAGAGTGAGTGAGTGAGTGTGTGTGAGAGAGTGAGTGAGTGAGTGTGTGAGAGAGTGAGTGTGTGAGTGAGTGAGTGAGTGAGTGTGAGAGAGTGAGTGAGTGAGTGTGTGTGAGAGAGTGAGTGAGTGAGTGTGTGAGAGAGTGAGTGTGTGAGTGAGTGAGTGAGTGAGTGTGAGAGAGTGAGTGAGTGAGTGTGTGTGAGAGAGTGAGTGAGTGAGTGTGTGAGAGAGTGAGTGTGTGAGTGAGTGAGTGAGTGAGTGTGAGAGAGTGAGTGAGTGAGTGTGTGTGAGAGAGTGAGTGAGTGTGTGTGAGTGAGTGAGTGTGTGAGTGAGTGTGTGTGTGAGAGAGTGAGTGAGTGTTAGGGGTTGCACCGACTAATCGACTTCAATGCTCTGCCATGCCGCTTTAAGCTTGACGTCGACTAGTCGCTGGTCCTATAGAGGGCGCAACAGGATAAAGCCCCGTTCACACCAAGAACGATAACTATAAAGATAACGATATTAGCATCCACACCAGCGAACAATATCGTCTGTTTATTCTAAGCACACGCGCGTCTGCCGCTTTAAATTCTTGAGCTCGTTACAGCAGGATGGATTCTGATTGGCTGTCAGTGTTTTATCGTTCATCAGCTGGGAAAAAAATAGTTTTGAAAGTGATCACAACGATGTTGTTCCTCTGTATCATTATAGTTGTGGTATGAACTATGCTATTCTTTAATATTGAGAACGATTTTTAGAACTATATCTTTATCGTTATCTTTATAGTTATCGTGCTTGGTGTGAACGGGCCTTAAGAAATCTTTGAAGGACTTCCACATTTACGCTCCGTTTCCAAACAGTTCAAATGACAAATAAATGCATACTCTGAAAGCGCTCCACAAGACATGTGTGATAATATTACTGGATGCTCGAAATTGAACGGTAGAATGCACATTTTAAACAGCTTATTGTACAGGTAAGTTAATTGCCGTTCTAATCTAATGCGCTGCTGCACTGTAACGCACACATAGGCTACAGACAGTAGCGCGTACATCACACGCACAGAATCATTCAGGGCGGAAATGTATTGTCAACACTGTTCTGTGATTTCTCAATAAAATAGCTTAGAAACTGAAAAGTTTAAGCATATATTTCTTAATAACTAAATCCCACAGCTTCACTACTAGTAGAGAGATGCTGCCAGGCAGAATTAATTCAGACACACAATCGCTCTCACTAATGCATTCATATTAATGTAGTCTTTACTGTGCTACTTTATCTGTATCTGATTTAGAATGAGCAGAAATCTGTGAGAAATATAACGACCCAAAGACAAAAGAACTGATAAAAAAGCTGTTATATATGCCATATGTGCACAAGGTGTTTTTCACAGCTCCAGACTTATTTGTTCATTAATGACGTCATCAGCGACTAGTCGATTTCGACTCGACTTTCATCACATAAACTTCAAAAAACTCAAAAAATCAGAAGTCGTTCAACCCCTAGTGTGTGTGTGTGTGAGAGTGAGTGTGTGTGTGTGTAAAATACAGCAAGAAGTGAAAACGATCTCACTATAAGGACAGGAGGAATTATATTTAATTATAATGACGCATAACAATAAAAAGTAATAAACAGTGACATTTATCTACAGGTGCATCTCAATAAATTAGAATGTCGTGGAAAAGTTCATTTGGTGGCTCTTGATGCCTTGACCCCAGCCTCAGTCCATTCACTCAGTCCATTCACTCAAATTCTTGAATCGATTTTGCTTGATAATCCTCATAAGGCTGCGGTTCTCTCGGTTGGTTGTGTATCTTTTTCTTCCACACTTTTTCCTTCCACTCAACTTTCTGTTAACATGCTTGGATACAGCACTCTGTGAACAGCCAGCTTCTTTGGCAATGAATGTTCGTGGCTTACCCTCCTTGTGAAGGGTGTCAATGATTGTCTTCTGGACAACTGTCAGATCAGCAGTCTTCCCCATGATTGTGTAGCCTAGTGAACCAAACTGAGAGACCATTTTGAAAGCTCAGGAAACCGTTGCAGGTGTTTTGAGTTGATTAGCTGATTGGCTTGTCACCATATTCTAATTTGTTGAGATAGTGAATTGGTGGGTTTTTGTTAAATGTGAGCCAAAATCATCACAATTAAAAGAACCAAAGACTTAAACTACTTCAGTCTGTGTGCACTGAATTTTTTTAATACACGAGCAATGCTTAACATTTTTGCGACCATGATGATTTTTAAGGATCCTTTGATGAAAAGAAAGTTCAAAAGAAGAGCAATTATTTTAAATACTAAAACATGAAACGTGATGTGGGGATATCAGTGAATATTTGATATCTGAAATAAATTCATTGAAATAGACAGACAGTCTAAACTGATTTGAGAAAATCAATCAAAGTTAGTTTTTGTGTTACTCAAGTCAAATGTGATAATAAAATATCTGACTTGACACTCAAAGTTACACAAAATACAAGGAACTTATCAATGACACAGTCTTATATATTATAAATTGTGATTATTTCTCAGTCCTAATGTGGGATGAGTCCACACTTCAACAGAGGAGCGTTTTTTTATCTTTAATAATTTCTGCAGTTAAAGTGCTCATCTTTGTTTTAGTAATCATGTTTGTCACAGTTGTCATGAGAAAGAAACTTCATTGAAGATTTATTCTCTTGAAGAATCTTTAAAGATCAGGAAGACTAAGAGGACGTGAACTGAGAGATAATAGAGGGGAAAAAGTGAAAGATGAATTTTATTTTTAGACCGGCAGATGTCTCTCTGAACATTATTTCTGTGATAAAATCACAGGTAATATCTGCATCTAATATCAGCCTAATCAAACCAATGGCAATCAATTAAACTGTCCAATACTGATATATTCAAGACTCCTAAAAAAGCTTTCATTAAAACGATCCCTAATTATCTCCTGCACAAACATCAACAGAATATACATCACAAAGACACAAACACACACAGAGTAAAGCAGTGATCATGTATATCTGACATGAGAGTGGACATTCAAAAAACGGCCACATAAAAGGCCTCAACTGCAATTACACAAATCCTGACTTGCCATTGGACACACACTCTCATAAACCTACAAACCTACAGCTCATTTCCTGTCGCTCCGTCTCTGTAAGCAGATGTGTGTGTGTGTGTGTGTGTGTCTGTGTGTGTGTGTGTGTGTGTGTGTGTGAGAGTTTAATCTTGCCTTACGTCTTATGTTTCTCGAGTCTCTGCAATTTTCCCTCAGCTTTCATCTCCATGCTGACTACGGTAAGATAATTTCCAAAAAGGTGCACACACACACACATGCGCACACACATGCGCACACACATGCGCACACACACACACACACACACATGCGCGCGCACACACACACACACACCTGAACAGCTCTCAGATCAGAGGCTTGTGCTCTAACTGCTGCTGCAAATGCAGTGCCACTCACCAGCCTCGTCCTCCTATGATTGACATGTGTCAGTCACGCTTGTTTCTAATCTGACCTGCATCCTCAGTGTTAAAAGTGTTCATTTATTTGTAATGAACCAAACCACCTTTGTCAAATAATACCCTTTAGTAAAATAAGTTCTATTCGTTTCAGTGAAAGTTTGAAACTCATTAGTTATCACTGAGAAAAAAGAAAAAGAAAACAGTCACTGACTGCTGTACAATAATAAGCCAATGTTAATTTTTATGCTGTGGTTGATAAGCGATAATATAACTGACATTGGAAACCTACTGTTTTGACTGTTTAAAAGATGTTTACAGACAATCAGAAAAAAAAAATTATTAGTGATATTTATCATAAAAACGTTCAAATTTACAGTAAAAAGTATAATTTTCCTAAGCTGGAATGAAAAATGTGTACATACGTATATTGTTAGAAAAGATTTCTATTTTAAATAAATGCTCTTCTTTTTAACTTTATTCATCAAAGAATCCTGAAACAAAAGTTTCCAGCACTGATAATAAATCAGCATATTAGAATGATTTCTGAAGGATCGTGTGAAACTGAAGACTGGAGTAATGATGCTGAAAATACAGCTTTGATCACAGCAATAAATTACATTTTAATGCATATTAAAATAGAAAAACGTTATTTTACATCATAATAATATTTCACAATATTAAATTTTTTCCTGTATTTTTGATCAAATAAATGCAGCTTTGATGAGCAAAGAGAAACTCCTGTAAAAAACATTAAAAATACAAATGTAAAGAAACAATCCATCTGTAGCATTTAAAAATTCTGGAGCTTGTTAATGTTGTTTTTTTAATGTAACGATATCAGAAATTGCTTTGGTTGCTGTGCATAACATGAAAACAATCTTGTGAATGGTATCAGTCAGAATCCCTCTGTGTTTGATCACGACTTACCCTCTTTCTGCTCGGTCATGGTGGGCGTCTGTGTCTCCTTCGTGTAGGACACCACCTCTTTGGGAGGGAAATCCACGTGGGTCACCTTCACCATGGCCAACTTCAGAGGACCACGCCTGGGAGAGAGCACACACACACACACACACACACAACTCATAAGAAGGAACAACGCCCACATTGTTCAACCATCTAAAGTTTTACACACATGCTGCACACATCTTTCTTGAGCAGATGACAAACTGAGGCCACATTTACTTCTGGTAAGATCTCTCTCAGCTGATCTGATCACAAGTGGACAGCACTTAAAGTACAGGTGGAAACATGTTCCAATACGTCTCAGAAGCGCACTGTGATCCGATCACCCACACCGCATTCATAGGTGGTCAGAAACGGACATGTTTGCTAGAGAAAAAAAAAGGACACATTTGACTAAATTTGTTTCTTATGCTCTTGAAAATCTTTTAATCATAAAAGGCTTTTAGTGCCTGATTAGTTTGCAGATAAACTGCCTATAAATTAACTTTTTATAATTTATTTATTAATTTCATTTCATTGAGGAGTTCTGGACTGGGTTGTGAAAATCACTGTGCTCACTTCTTATAAATCTTGCAAACAATAATGTTTACATTCACATCTGTGACCTTTAAAACATCCAAACCCATATGCCTTGCTATCCTGCAGGTTACTTTACAGTACAGCATGAATCACAGTATGAATCCATGCTCACGGTCACCAACAATCACTCATGACTTCTTTCTCTAGAGGTCTGAAAGAGCAGAAGTGAAGGAGAACGAGCAGAAAGTGTGCAGTACCCCGGCTCAGAGTGAAGCAGAAGAGTGGAGGGGTCACAGTCCCAGTGCAGAGTCCTGTTAGTGTCACAGCCACGAGACAGGGTTACACACACACACACACACACACAGAGAGAGATACAGCAAGACAGAGAGGTGGTTAAAACACAATGGTATAGTCCTTCAGAGCAGTTAGAGACAAGAAGAAAAGCTTCTATACACATGAGACAAACACAACACAGAAACAGAAACAGAACCAGACGTCCGAAGTGGTGCTCTGTTTCGTCTGCTCAAATCTTCAGGCCCCCCCCCCCCCCCCCAAAAAAAAATAATTTTTTGAACTGATAGCTGACAAATGTATCATTTTTAATTTTTGGCCTACCAAAAATTGCTTATAAATATCTTGTTATGCTACATTATTGCTAAATATTGGGTGCATATTCAATAATTTGAGTGCTTTTTTCACTCAAACACAGAGGTGCATAAGCTCAGTTCAATGAGGCCTATAACCAATCAGTTCCGAAAAGAAATACAAATCACGTTTATTAAAAATGTGTTGATAATATAGCATAATGAGACATTTACAAGCTATTTTAGCAGCACAACCATTTAAAACTGTGCTAATAAGAAAGGTCCCCTCAAACACCACATTTTGACAAGAGAAGGATTTGTTCAGGTTTCAGAAAACCACTGCTGAAAATGGAGCATTGCCTTTACAGGTAAAAAATGGAATTTTAAAATAGAATAACAATGTTATTTAAAATGGTGATCGTACAATATCTGACTACATTTAAAAAATATATAAAATCCATATAAAAATCTAATAAATGCTCTTTTGGTGAACAAAAGACATATGCTTTCACATAGTACTGAAAGGCCTTCTCAATAACTCAAATACTCCAAATAAGAAGAATAATGACAACACCAAGTGAAAACCGCTCAAACAAAGCAATCTAGTTTCAAAGCCAAATGCATCATTAAAATACTTTCAGTCATCTCATTCAATGGTGTGGGATATTTGTTTACAAAATAAAATGAACTTTTTTTGGTTGTTATTTTCAATATGACTAAAAGACGACTTCTGGTGTATATTATAAAGGCAATGAAATCCTTACAGATCATGACACACCAGCGGAAGCACAACCTGAGGCTGTGTGTGGTCATGAGTGCATTAAGTGGGAGTGTGACTGTGATGTGTGTGTGTGTGTGTGTGTGTGTGTGTGTGTGTGTGTATAGGAAGTGCTGAAGCGGTGTGGGACATGAGTGGACACGGAGCCCAGGGGGCATCTGTGTGTGTGAGAGTTTCTGCTGTAAACACTCCCTACAGCGGCTCTAAACTGCTCCCACGGGTCTTACTGTGAGCTAAAATTCACTCTAATTCTATAAGGTTTCTATATTTATTTTGTTTTACTAGTTGGAGCCAAGTGGTTAGCTCATGTGCTCCAGAAAAGTTGAGCCTTGGGGCTCATGCAGGTAATGCAGGTTCAATCCTAGCTGCCCGTGTCCCCACATAATAGGTCCCATTTATCTGCTGTAGAACAGTTTCCAGTTCCCCTCTATTTTGACTGTCAATAATAAACTGTTTTTTTATCCCTATACTAGAATCTGGTATTAATAATGCACAGCTGTCACCTAACAGATATAACGTAAGGATGAGCAACATTACAGCAACAAAGAGTAAAAATCACAATAAGCCTGAACTATTTCATTATTCAGTTGGGACAATAGAGTGCTGCAGGGAACCAGGAAACGAGTTAGCATTTTAGCACCAGTTCCATCTTCTGGAAGCCACTGGGTTTTGGTTAAATGTCTGAAATAAGCTCCGGGGTTCATTCAAGATCAAGACACTTTCATGATTTATTCTACAACCTATATAATACACCAGTTATACCTTCCTGTGATTTTTAAAAGCTTTTACTTGTCTTGAAAAAGGCAGTTGCGAACAAGGTGCTAAACGGGCCTACAGAGGTTGTCTGAGACAGTAAACATCACCACACTGAACAGGAAAACTCATCTACTCACAGATCCGGCTTTACAGCCCCACCATCTTCATAATATGCTCTTGCAAACTATTCTAACGCAAACTTTCAGGGAAAATGCTTTTTAAATAAAGACTGAAAGAGTTGTCGATGATGTTAAAAAGTCAGAAGATGGTGTAGTTCATTTATAGCCTACGCTTGGGTTTTTACTTCTGGCGATTGCATTTAGGCTTCATAATGGATAAACGTTGTGTTCATTTGTGAAGATTATCACGATGAGCATCCAACTTTTGTTGGTCACAGAGCTTATTTTCTGCAAAAAGCCAATGGAAAAATCCTGTTGTGTTTTTGTTGAGGGAACAAGGGTGATGTGAATTTCCGGCCTACTACATCGGATTCTGGGATAAACTTCTCCATAGATGCGATTCTGCTTTAGCTTAAAAGGCTGCATCAACATCACACCGGAACAGCCTTTGCATTAAGATTGCATCTATGATGCTGTAAAACACAGACACGACGGGCAGCTCACTAGGTGTAGGAACACAGGTAATGTTTTCATGTTTCCCCCTCTCTCTTCTCAGGGGTTTTCCAGCAATAAATTATCTTTTAGTCACAGGTGAAAAGCAGCTAATAACAGAGATTTATTCAGCAGAAACTTCCCCTACCTGCTCAGACCTGCAAACAGACACAAAAATACTATACCACTTTCACTGCCGGTTTGTCCTTCAAGCAATGCTAAAGCCACAAACCTCTCCAGTGCCAATCAGACCAGACCTGCCACACGAGAGAGAGAGAGAGAGAGAGAGAGAGAGAGAGAGTACCTTGGCCCGGTGGCACCCTCTCCTGAGTCTTGGCTCCCTGCTTCACTCGGAGTGCCTGCAGATTTGGCCGTGGGAGACATGGGTGTGGGACCTGAAGAAAGCAAGAGATTAACATACTTTCATCCACAAACAGTGCCCTCCAAAAATGTTACAATTCAGTCACACTTAAAAATGTCTGAATGACACTGCATTACATACACAACACAAGTGTCATGTGCGCTCAAACACTACTAGAGCTTTTCTCTTCACTAACTTTTCTGACACATTTTGTCTGATGAACTGGTTTTTTGATGATTTTCAGCACATGTACCTACATTACTGGTCAAAAGTTTGGAACAATACAAGTTTTTAATGTTTTTTGGAGAAGTCTCTTACACTTACCAAGGCTATATTGTAAAAACAGTAATGTTGTGAAATGTTACTACAATTTCAGTACAGTTTTCTATTTGAATATATTTTAAAACAATTTATTTTTTGTGATGGAAAAGCTAAATTTAATGCAGTCTTCAGTGTCACATGTTCCTTCAGAAATCATTCTAATATGCTGATTTGCTAATCATTAATTATTAAAGACACTTATTTTAAAACATTTTTAAAAATCGGAATTATTCCAAACTTTTAATCAGTACTGTAACACTAAACAAAAAAATTAAATAACAATAATAATAATAATTATAACAGTTTGTACCATCTAATCACAAACTGAAGTGTGTGTGTGTGTTAGATAATTAGTTATTAGATAATTAGTTTGTCTTGGTCACATGCATTAAATTTAGATTTTGAGCATGTAAAATTTGACCAAGATTGTCAATGTTCTTAGCCCATTTTAACAATACTGTTACTTATATTTACAACGTTCAGATATAAAATAGGTCATAAATACTAAATCTAAGTGTTTGATGAAATTAGCTGCCAACCATCAAAACTACAGTGGTGCACTTCTGCCCCCTTGTGTTCAATCAATGTAGTACACTGCACTGGGTTTCTCCATTTGTTGGCCCCACTCTCAAAGGAACTTGTGCTGTTGAATATCAGCTAAAATTCGGGTCCACATAGCATATCATTGACTTAGACTGCAAGGGGTCGTCTTACCAATACATAAAGGGATCACAGTTTGATATTCGAGGGATATTTTCAATTAGATGTCTGATGTGGCTCGGGTGCACAGGTGACTTACCCACAGGTGCGTCTGAAGTGATGCCCATACTCTGTAGCAGAGCATCAGCCTCCCTGCGCTTTTTCTCCAGGTCTGAATCATCCTGCAGTGGGACGGCCTCCTTCTTCAGCTCAGCCTGTCACAAACAAAACAGAGTGAAGCAAACACTTCATCAACAAACTATTGTTCCCAAAGAACAAAAACCAGTAATCTGACTCGGTTTACCCTCCTACTGCATTTACTCAATGTTGACACCAATTGTAGTGTTGACTGCATTCATCAAGCTCAACCACTCAACCCTGCTACTAAAGTTTTTGGTAAGAAAAATCATTAAACAACATATACAGTGGTGTGAAAAAGTGTTGGCCCCCTTCCTAATTTCTTATTTGTTTGCATGTTTGTCACACTTTGATGTTTCAGATCATCAAACAAATTTAAATATTACACAAAGATAATGCAAGTAAATACAAAATGCAGTTTTTAGATGATGATTTCATTTATTAATGGAAAAAAGATGTCCAAACCTACGCGGCCCTACGTGAAAAATTAATTGCCCCCTCCTGTTAAATCATGAAAGAACTGTGATTAACCACATTATTTTAGAAAGCTGAGTTAAATTTCACTAGCCACACCTAGGCCTGATTACTGCCAGACCTGTTGAATCAAGAAATCACTTAAATAGAACCTGTCTGACAAAGTGAAGCATGCTTAAAGAGCAACACATCATGCCGCAATCTAAAGAAATTCAAGAACAGATGAGAAACAAAAC